ATGTCCTGAGGTGACAGGGGCTGCAGGGCCTAGGCAGGGGTTCAGCTTCTGCTAGAAATTAGGGGGGGATATTACAAGATTGAACAGAGATATGATTGACTTAGGTCCTTCGTGGGCCCTCTCACAGCTGTGTCCACATTGGAATGAAGGCAGGTAAGAGGCCGTTACAACAGGCTGGTGAGACGTGGGCCTGGCTTGGAGCCCTGGAGGTGGTGGTTGGGGTCCGATTCCAGATGTACAAGGCATTGAATGTGGTGTGTGAGAGAGAGACGAGAGCGGGGATGACCTTGGTCAGCATGTTGGCTGTGGCAGTCTTCAGAGACACCAATACAGGAAAGGGTATATGGAGGGGAAAAGTCAAGGGTCTGGTTTTGACTTGCTGCGTTTCATATGAAGATTGTGCACAGCTCGTTGGACTGGAGTTTGACCTTCAGGAGAGAGGTCAGGCAGGCGATAACAGCTGGGATCATCAGTGAGCAGATGCTGCTTGGAATTGAATGGGACTGCGAAGTGATTAGAAGAGTTGACATAGACAGAGAGAGAATAAAGACGGAAAGACGGAAGATAGGAAATCTCACCATGATCTTGAAAACCCTCACATTTATCGTCAAAGTGGAGGAGAATCAAATGGCAAACACGACTGAGATAGAGCAGACAGATAGGTGAGAGGAAGAGCAGGAGAGAGCGCGGGGTGGGAGGGAAGCCAGGGCTAAACAATGATTCACGGAGGAGGAAGTGAATGGTCAGAGGTCAGATGCTACTGAGGAGCCAGGCACGATCAAGCATAAATGGATCTGCCAATGTCAAAGTCATTGGTGACATTAGTGAGAGCTGTTTTTGGGAAAGTCTGAGGGGAGTAGGGGTAGGGGGGGTGGAAACCAGACTTAAGTGGGCTGGAGACTGACTCAGATCCTGTTTTCAAAGGACTCCTGACTTTTGATTCTTTTATAATTCCAGGCCTGCCCTTTGAACCTGGTCTCCCTGTCTTGATTCTCAGACTTGACTCAGCCCTAATCTGCATGACCTTCCTCCCTGCCTCATGAGTCCCTTTGGAACGCAGCTCTTGGTTCAGGCCTGTGCAGCACCCAGACAAGGCATGTGCTCCTCAGCAAGGGAAGATGATTGAAGCTGTGCCCATCCAAGCAATGAGATGCGGGCCTCAGGCTTGCATCCACACTTGGCCACGAATTGCATACAATTGGAAAGTTGCTTAACTTCAGTTTCCTCATCAGTGAAGCGGGGACTGATCATCTACTGGACTGTGTCACTGCGAGGATTATCCTTCCTGGTACCTGATGGTTTCCCAGTAAATGGTGGTTACCAAATGTCCTGTCTTCTCAAAATACAACATCCCTTTAGTCATCTTTCTAAGGTGGATTCCTAAATCTAAATACAAGTTTCTAAAGGGATATGTTGTCACCAAGGAATGTAGCTGCTTCCCTGTTGACATTTCTTGACTCATCCATCATTTGCTGATTCACCTTTCGTGGGACACGCACAGAGCCGGGCTTTGGGCAGTCGGTGATGAGCAGGAAGAGCATGGCGCTCAAAATTCACTGCAGCCGGCAGACAGCTGTAACAAAAAAGTCAAGTCATAAATCATGTGATTGTAAATTGCAGCAGGTGCTGGGCAGGAGACATAAAGGGTGAGGAGAAGCAGAGCGATGGGTTAGGGCTGCTTCCAGAAGAGTCCGTGGAGGAAGGTCTTTCTGAGACGTGGAGGTGTAAGCCGCCATCCGAAGGGCATGAAGGAACAAGGTCACGCACCCTTCCTGACATTCATTGAGAGACTGGGCTGTATAATGAGGTGTGTTGGTGTCTTAGCCTCTTCACCAAATCCATACCTAGGTGACTAGGCATTTGTTAACTTCTATGAACGTTGAGTATTTTTATTTCTCCTTCACCGTCTTTCAGTGGATCCAGTCAACCATCTTTAAATATTTGCTGTTTCTAATCTCTGTGCGGGAGGAGAAATCTTAGGATCGTGCAGGTTAGAGAAACATAAAGATGAAAGCGAATTGACTCTGGAGGAGGCCTCTCCCATGAACCAAGTCCCTAAACTTCACACCAGCTCATCGAGTTTCTTGGGGGCCACGTTGGCTCCTGGGTTCTTGGCGAAGCTCCGACAAGTGGGGGTGGGGGTAAGTGACTTCGGGACAAGAGAGGTGATGCTGTGAACTCCTCACAGGTCTGACAGGTTATCTTCGTGAATTCAGTGACCAGCTGAGTCTGCTTCGTGCCCTCTGAGCCAAAGGATTACCTGTCAACCTGGGAGGGAGCCTCGACAAACAGACCAGACCGACTCGTGCCCTCGCGGAGGTGGTGGTTCTCCGTCTGGCTACTGAAGGCTGTCACCTGTGCCACAGAATAAGCTGTCCCCTCACTAGAACCGCCACCTCTGCACTCCTCTGCACAGACAGTTTAATCTGGGTTAGAACCGTGTTTGGAGTAAGAAGCAGGGCGGGAGGGTTGCCCACGTGCCTCCCACCTGCGTCAGGTTTATGGCCGCTCTCGAAGGGTTGTCTTTGAAACACAGAGCTACCGTCTGTGGATTTGAATTTGAGGCTGACTAGGCCCATGGAAGAGAGACTGGGAGGAGTGTACGCGTGGCAACCTCTCTTCCGGGGTCTCCACAGCTTCCCCCGGGATGAACATCCTCTCCTCAGGAGAGCTTGTTTCCTATTCCTGGATTGTTTCCCTGACTCCAAGAAGAGCAGCCCTGATTCTGGGAACTCCACATTAGGGCCCACCGGACAGACAGGGGCAAGGGATAGATTCAAGTTTGAGATCTTATTTTTGCTACTGAAATGCTCTCCTCAGTGGTACAGAGGAATTGCAAAATATGTCTCCCTCTTCAGAAGATGAAGAGTTCGGGCACAGAGAGGGCTCAAGAGTCGTAGGACAGGTTTGCAGGAAGCATCCAAACAGGCGGTATTCACACACTCGTTCTGTCCTTGCTTTGAGGGGGAGGGGCTGGGAGAGCTCAGAGAGCCTCCCCCACTGGATACTAATTTTGGTGACAGATGATTGACAGGCAGTGGGTGTTGTGGACAGCCCCAGAGAGCCACCAGGCAGCCCAGGGGCAATGGGTGACCCTGAGACAAATTCACTGTGCGACTCTGAGCAAATCACATCACTTATTCTCGGTCCCGACTTCCTCATTTTAAAAATGCAGTTGCACTCTAATAACTGTTATGGGTGCTCTTCCAACCTGGCTGTGCTGCTTTGGGGGATAAATAAGGCATTTCCAGGGCCAACTACATCTACAGTGAACCAGCTGAAGTCCTAAAAATCCCCTTAGGTTTTTATACGGGGCTGCATCGAGCAGGGCGGAGGGTCAGGTGGATGAGAGGTGGTGTGTGCCCGTGTGACTGTTACGGGAAGATGTTCCCCACTGTGGTCACTGTCATTGCTGTGGTTGTGTTTATGATGTAAATGATTATAATTGAAATGACAATGTTTCATATAAAATCATAACCATTTATGCACAAAGTCGATGATGACTGGAAACACAGCCCCTTCATACGCAGGTTAAAGACTGGGAAGGGATGGGATGCGCTCCTTTGAAAACATAGTTGTGTGTGGATGATGGAATTAAGGTGTGTTTTACCTATTTCTCTGCATTTTTATGTTTTCCTTCGAGTATTAACTATTTCATGATCACTATAGTGAACTATAGTTTTATTTTGAACTATTTCGTACCTAAACACAAGATGAACTTCTTTTATGTCCAACAATAATAGTGGTGAAATTATTACCGCACGTTGGCCAATCCAGCGAACCTTGAGAAATGCTTCCCACTTATACATGAGGTTTTGACTTTCTCTGCAAAAACTTGCTTTTCACAGAACAATCTGAGGCAAAGACAGCACTCGGGTTTGCAGAAATGTTTTCATTTAGGTTCTTGTGTGAATTCCATCGGCCCCTGTGGTAACAGGGAGAGAAAGCAGGAGAAGTCTTCGGCTTAGCAGAATGTCGGAAATACCAGCCTTTTGGAAAATAAATCCTCACACTCAGGAAACTCAGCAGTTAAGACAATTTGCTGGCATTTCGGTGTCAGGCGTTCCACACCCCAGTTTCTTCTGTAGGATGAGAAATTGGAAAAAGGACACAGCTCTTTCTAGCAATAAAAGGCTCACTAACCCCTTCTCTTGGTTTGAAATTCCTCAGCTTTTCTTGTTATTTACATTGGTTCTTATTCAACACTTCTCTCACGCTATATTTCAGATAGAGTCAGCTCTTTGATTCTATTTTTAGTTCAAACCCTTTTTCCTGCCCTTGCCCCCACCAAAACTCGAAGATCCGATTTCAGGTCCAAGGCAGATCGCTGCGGAGCCCACGGAGGTCTTCTCGCGCCTGGTTTCTGGTGGGAAAATGTGTCCTCTCTCTCTCTCTCTCTCTCTCTCTCTCTCTCTCTCTCTCTCTCTCTCTCCTGCCCATGGGGATGGGGATGGCAGAGAAGACGCCTTTGGGGGGCAGAGGGCCTTGCTCCCAGCAGCGACGCGGCCCAGCTGGCCCGTTCCACCCGCGGTCCTCATGGAAAACTCCGTGATGCGAGCTGGCAGCGGGCGCTGTCACCAGCTCCCACCCAGCAGGGCCTCTGGGCACTTCTCACAGTTGCAGCTGTTGCCCAGCGAGTGCCATGCCTGCTTCTGCGTCGACAGTTCCCATTGGCTCCTGGCGGCACGAGTCCCCAGAGGCTCTGGCTCCAGTGCTCTGGTGGGGCGCCCAGCGCTGTCCTCAGGGGGGCACGGGAGGGTCTCAGGGCTCTTCGGCCCTTGGACACTGGTCATGTGTGAGCTCGGGCTGCTCCGCGGGGCCCCTCAGCCCGTCCCTGCCCAGACTGTGGCGATGGGCACCTTGTTGTCAGGCTCTTCTGATGAATATCATTCATTTGTTCGTTCGTTCGTTCATTCATTCAACAGCTGCTCACCGAATCTCAGAAATGTGCCAGCCACTGCCAGGCAGCAGGGACTTCCAAAGGAATTTACGAACTGGCGGAGCCTCTGAAGAGAAGACTAGTACGAAAGATCCAGCGTAAAAGCGAAGCGAACCAACCATGAAGTCGGTTAGGCCACGCCAGGAATGTGCCGGATGAACCATGGAGTGCGGAGGAGCAGAGCTGAGCCCCCTCCGAGACCCTCTCCGTGTGGGTGTGCGCGGAGGGGTGAGGCCCAGCCCCGCGTTGGGAACGGGCTGGGGGAGCGAGAAGAGCCTGCTCCGGGCCCAGATGCAGGGGCGGCCCGCGAGCTTCAGCATCGCCAGCACCAAGTTTCCAGGCACAGACATCGTGGGAGCCAGAGCCGGACAGGGAGACAGGGTCCTGTCGTGATGGGCATGGTGCGTCTTCTGCTAAGGAACTTGTATGTATTCTCTGAGTATTGTCTCTGCCAGCGAGAGAGAAATACCGACTCTAACTCAGAACTGTAATTCTAAAAGGCAATTCCCTGGCAGTGTGGGGGGCGGCTGGAGAAGACGCCTGACATGCGTGTAGAGCAGCGGTTCTCAACCTGTGGGTCGCGACCCCTTTGGGGGTCGAACGACCCTTTCACAGGGGTCGCCTAAGACCATTGGAAAACACATATATAATTACATATTGTTTTTGTGATTAATCACTATGCTTTAATTATGTTCAATTTGTAACAATGAAAATTCGCCGAAACAGGTTTGGCTCAGTGGATAGAGCGTCGGCCTGCGGACTGAGAGGTCCCAGGTTCGATTCCGGTCAAGGGCATGTACCTGGGTTGCGGGCACATCTCCAGTGGGAGATATGCAGGAGGCAGCTGGTCGATGTTTCTCTCTCATCGATGTTTCTAACTCTCTATCTCTCTCCCTTCCTCTCTGTAAAAAATCAATAAAATATATTAAAAAAATAAATAAAAAATAATAAAAAAAGACTTAAATAGTTGTAAATATTTAAAAAAAAACACAATGAAAATACATCCTGCATGTCAGATATTTACATTACGATTCATAACAGTAGCAAAATTACAGTTATGAAGTAGCAACGAAAATAATTTTATGGTTGGGGGTCACCACAACATGAGGAACTGTATTAAAGTGTCGCGGCATTAGGAAGGTTGAGAACCACTGGTGTAGAGGGTTGGGTGTATTGAGAGTCTGCCCGTTGGAAGTCCTGGGGAAATGTTCCGGGTGGGGCCACCTTCTTTCAGAGGGACAGGCGCTGAGGCCAGTGGACCCGTGACACCCAGGGAGATGGGGCATAAGCGAAGCCCAGGGCAACCGTGGAGGTGGCCATGGGCATGTGAAGGCTGGCATCCCGGTGGCACGTGCTTGGTCCTGAGAGTTGGATGCCCCTTGGGCCTCCCTGAGTTAGTTGGGTGGAGGTGAGTAGGGAGGTGTTGGTAGCTGAGATCCCACGTGAGATATTGAGCCATTGGACCTTGATTTTTAAATCCTCTCTGCAGGTGGGTGAACATTGGGGGAACAGTTGGATTTGTGTTCTAGGGTCCAGACATGGTGTTCTAGTCAGTGAAAGTGTTTGTCACACAGGAGAGTATTTCACTCTTCAGAGTGAACGTTTATTTCTTCCTGACAAAGAAAGTACAACTCGGAGAGGCTGAGCAATCCCCCCACCTCACACCTCACACCTCACACCCGCTGCTGGTTGGGGAGAGAACCCCAGCATCTTGGATTAGTTTCCAAGTCTGTCTCCCAACTGAGAAGTCGTTGAATTTCTCCTGGGAGCACAGTAGTCACTTGGGATGACGAAATTCAAATATTGTTCCTATTGAACAAACACAGCAAGTTTCTGTAATAATATTTGTATAAAAATGTGGTTTTCAGCCGCCAGTCACTTCAGGGTGAGACAGGTCCCTGGTTCTGTTCCCACCCCACTCTATTTATTTTTCAAAACCATAAAAAAAGCGCAAGCATATAAGTTCCAAAACACAGATGCATTCACACACATACACACACACACACACACACACACACACACCAGAAAACACAACATGAGGTTTTCATAAACAGTACTTGGCCATGGGATGTGTCTTCTGGATTAAGTACTCCACAAACATCATCCCATATCATCTTCAGAATGATATTTCTTTTATGTGGTGTGTGGGCAATTTCGCAATTATATAATGCTCGTGTGTTATTAACTTGTGAGAGTGGTTCGAACCGTATTTCATTGTCATAAAAAATGGCATTAAGTGCCCACATGTGTGGTGTGTCATTGCGGACCCTGGGGAAGAGCCATAGCGCTAATACAGGCATTGCTCATGGGTAGCTCACAAGCAACCAATAGTCCATGAGGCGACAGTGGGAAAGAGAAAATTAATGGAGTGAGCAAGATTAAAGGTATCCCAGTAGATCCTCTAGTGGGAATATACTGAGGTTTCCTTCCCACCTCTTTTCCCACGGAACTCCTCCCTCTCACCGGGTACTCACTGTGCAACCATCAGCTTCCCGGAGGCAGTGAACTCTTGAAAAATCTCCCTGTTTCATTTGAACTGAAACGAGAGAAATGTGCAGTCAGTCGGGGATTGATGGTTGTGCTGCAGAGAGGAAGAGAGAGGAAGACCCGTAAGTCCCTAATGTCGAGGTCCAGGGAGCAGCAAAAACCCCAAGGACCGTTTTCATATTACTTGGCAGTCGCAGTATTTCCTGGGCTCTACCATTTATTTCGGCATCCCTCCCAAGAAGAGCCCCCAGGACTCCCTCTCCTTACACGTGATCAAAATAGACTTTGTCATTCGCAACCTCACAAGTGATTTGAACACAAAGAAGTGATTAGCATACAATATACACGGTATGCCTACAGAGCAGTGAGGTCAATCCATAACCACCTGTTTAGATTGCAAAGAACCGGGCAATCATGGGGAATAGACCACCTGGCGATGGAGACCTACCTGAAGCTGGAGGTGCCTCTGCAGGAACCCAGCGACCACACGCCAGGATGGCTCGGACTGTGGGCAAGACGGGGCTGGTGGGTGCCAACTCCCGGACTCTGTGATGGTCAGTTATGTTATTACACAATTAAGCCATGTAAATAGATAGTGACACGCAGGTCAACTGTACAAATATTAGACATAGATTCAATGAAAGATGTAGATTAGGTATCCCTGCTAATACAAGAGCATTTGGTGTGGCGCCAAGTCCAGAGTGAAAATATATGAGTTTGTATGCGCAGAGATTAAGATAAGGTGAGAAATTAATGTCTGCTTCTTAATGACCAGGAAAATTTCCAACTACTCATAGAAATTAAACATCTCTGTGCTCTTGTTTATTTGATACATAAATGAAAACCTAGGTTACTAGCACCCTGCAGTGTTTGACTTCAATAGCATCTTCTACAAAGACGTAAAGAAAATGACTGTTGAGCCCTGACCGGTTTGGCTCAGTGGATAGAGCGTTGGCCTGCGGACTTAAGGGTCCCAGGTTCGATTCCGGTCAAGGGCATGTACCTTGGTTGCGGGCACATCCCCAGTAGGGAGTGTGCAGGAGGCAGCTGATTGATGTTTCTCTCTCATCGATTTTTCTAACTCTCTATCCCTCTCCCTTCCTCTCTGTAAAAAAAAAAATCAATAAAATATATTTTAAAAAATGACTGTTGAATTGAAGAAAATGAATTGAGTAAGGTTCCATTTATTAAAAACATTTTTCATTAAAATAAATACCATCTTGGTCACCAGGTCCATATTATTCCACTTTTCACCTTTCACAAAGGGGTTACATGTCCTGGGCAATAACATTTATATCTTTTCCGTTAATCACTATTTACTACAATGATTTCTTCCCATAGTTATATACTTAAAATAAATAGGATACTCAACACCAGTGAATGCGATATTTAGATTGGTAGATGGATTTCCTTAAGCACTTTTGTTGTGTGCCTTTTGTTGAAACATCTTATTTAAAATATCTTATTGGTGAAATAGTCTCTAGATTCTTACCTGGTTCTTGGCCTTTTATTTGAAGGGCAACCTGAGTGTGTAGCAGTTCTGATGGCCTTTGGTCCATTGTCTTTGGCATTTCTTGTTATTGTAGTTAACCTGACTCTCCACCTGCCACCCCCTCAGAAAGGTAACTTGTTTTTCTACCTGGATTTTTCATGATTCCTTATCTGGAAGTACAGCAATTTCACTGGCTGTGTCTTGCTGTGCATTTTCTTGAATGTGTTTATTCTGGGACAACCTGCATAACCAAGTATTTCTTTGTTTCAGAAAAGCTTTGCTGAACCATGAGTATTGCCTGTTACTTTTTCCTGTTCTGTTCTTAAGAGACAACAATACACTCCCCCCCTGGAAGGCTCTCTCTACGGGAGCCAATAGCAATGGCCAGTTGATAGTCTTTCTCCCCCAATGGTCCCCTACGTTGAGGTGGGTCTTCATGGGGACCCACATTTGAGCCCAGACTGTGTAGGACTCAGCAGGTATGTGTCAGTGCTTGCCATATGGGATTTGGAAATTACTTTGACTCATAAAATGGTGTTTTCCCCTTTCCCTTTCATCTTGTTGTGGTGGCTTTTGAAGGGTCTGAGGCAGGAGAAGCGAGCAAAATGCCAGGCACTTTCTTCTTTAATAGAAAGTGCCCATGACCTCGTCGTCGCCTTGCCCTCCTGCTCTGGCAGGGTGCTGACACAGAGCTGGATAACAAATAATAACGCCCCGTACAAGGCGGAAGACATCGGAAATGACTGCGGCTACATCAGCTGGAAGAAGTGACCGAGGCTGGCTCGGACCACCGTGATGGAGTGGCCACGAAGAACTTATTGGATAGTTGCCACTGTTTCCTGAGTTGCCCACACACAACTCAAGTGAAGGCATCATAAACAACCCATTCCCACTGGGAAGATGGCTGAAATACAAGGGTCGTTACAGTCCGGTGATTTTGGTTGTAAGAAGATAGCTATTCGCATTAAGCTTCCAGGGTCTGTCAGGTTTTCTTGTAATTACTCTTACATTTCATGGGGAAAAAGAAATAAAAGGACTTCCAGGATAATGTTGGGGTTTTTCTCACTGATCTTGTTCTTTGTATTCAACATAGAACTGGGCACCCAAGGTATGATATGTGGGCCCTTCTTTTCTGAGGATACTGGTAAAATCATAGCAAATTATTGTGAAGTTTAGAATTCTGAAATCCTTTTGTCTTAGGTACAAATATTCAAACAAGTCTTTGTTGAACTTGACAAATGCTAAGCAAAAGAATAGACAAACGAAACAGGGGACTGCTTTTGTGCGCTGCTGGTGGGAATCAGCGAGGTACAGCCGTTTGCAAGTGGGAGCTATCTGTTAACGTTGAAAGGGCATTTCCCGTGAACCCGTAATTTAACTTCCCGAGTTAGACCTGACAGAAACTCATGCCCACATGCACAAGACACAAAGTATTTGCAGCAACACCACAATAGCTCCAGATTAGGAACAACCAAACGTCCGCCATCGAGAGCAGATGGATGAACAAATCGAGGTAATTCACAGGAGGACGTGTGTGGGTAGGTCGGCTAGCGGGGACTGTGGCTTCCCTTTGGCGTTCTTTCCCAACCAGCTATGGCGGCGTTGGCTTTTGCTCACTGTAGCACCTGTTCCAGGGGTAAGCTTCTGCAGGGACTGACAGGGCCCCGCCTCCCTTAATTTCCCTTAGATCCTGTTCCTTCTCTCACAGATTGTAGAGTTGTCCTTCTGCAGTTTGATACTGTCTCAGTTTTATTTCTCTGATGTTCCTCGAATTGTCTGTCACATTATTCATTTCTCACTAGTTTTTTTTTTTTTTAGGGCTTTTTCAAGAGTGGAAGTGCTGGCACCGCTGACTTGCAAATCATGAGACTATCCTATATAATAAAAGGCTAATATGCAAATTGACCAAACATCAGAACAACCAGTTGCTATGACACGCACT